TTCAGATTGCCTTCACTGAGTCCCAGATTTGGGGTTGTGTTTTTATTTTCATTTATGTCAAGTTATCTTAAAAGTCTTTTAAAACTTTTATTGTTATTTTTTGTTAATCCTCACCCAAGGATATTTTTCCATTAATTTTTAGAGAGAGTGGGAGGGACAGTGGTGAGGGGGTGAAGAGAGACACACAGATAGATGGACAGGATTGAAAAAGACACATCAAATGATTGCCTTCTGCATGTGCTCTCACTAGGCTGGGGATTGAAACCTGCGACCAAGGCACATGCCCTTGACCAGGAATTGAACCAGTGACCCTTTGGTGAATGGGCTGATGCTCTAACTACTGAGCTACTGGCAGGGCTCAAGGTATCTTTTGATTTCTTTCTTGATCTTGTTGTTAATCCATTCATTGTGTAGTGATGTTTTATTTAGTCTCCATGTGGCCTTAATAACACACTAGATCATTATGTGTTTGTGTCTTTTTCAGCTTTTTCCTTGTAGTTGATTTCTAGTTTCATGCCATGGTGGTTGAAGATGCTTGATACGATTTCAGTCTTCTTAAATTTGAGACTTGTTTCGTGTCCTAACCATATGGTCTAAGCTAAAAAATGTTTCATGTGAAGTTGAAAAAAATGTATGTTCTGTTGCTTTGAGGTAAAATGGTCTGAAAATGTTAGTCATCTGATCGAATGTGCCATTTAAGACCACATTTTTCCTTATTGATTTTCTCTCTGGAAAATCTTTCCATTGATGTTGATGGCTCTTAAAATCCCTTACAATGACTGTATTACCATTGATCTCTCCCTTTATGTCAGTAAACATTTCTTTATATATTTAGGTGCTCCTATATTGGGTGCATAAATGTTTACAAGGATTATATCCTTTTGTTGGGTTACTCTTTTTGTCATTTTTCTAGAGGCCTGGTGCATGAAATTCCTGCATGGGTAGGGTCCCTAGGCCTGGCTAGTGGTAAGGGCCAATCTGTGAGCTGATTGGGGCTCCTGCTTATACCCACCTTGACTGGGCACCACCCTCCCACTGATTGCTCTGCTGATTGCCCCACAGTGGTCAGCACATGTCTAACTCCCATTCGGTTGAACTCCTGCCAGAAGGGGGGGCATTTGGGGGCGACCTGGCGGGCAGTGGGGGCAGTGAGGAGTGACCAGGCCGAGGTAGGGGTGGGAGGAGAAGAGGGCGGGCAGTTGAAGGTGATTAGGCAGGCGGGGTGAGATGGGGTGGGGCAGTTGGGGGCAATCAGAACATCAGGTGGTTAGGAGTGATCAGGCTGGGGGAGGAGGGCAGTTAGGGGCAATCGGGCAGACAGGCAGGTGAGCAGTTAGGAGCCAGCGGTTTGGATTGTGAGAGGGATGTCCAACTGTCGGTTTAGGCCCGATCCCTAAACCAGCAATCGGACATCCCCAAGGGGTCCCCGATTGGAGAAGGTACAGGCTGGTCTGAGGGGACTCACCCCCCCCCCATGCTCAAATTTCGTGCACCGGGCCTCTAGTTTTTTTTAATAAATGTCTTTTTATTTGTTATTGGTTTTAGAGAGAAAGGGAGAGGGAGAAAAATCAGTGATGAAAGTGAATTAACGATTGGCTGCCTCCTGCATGCCCCCTACTGGGGGTTGAGCCATGGCCTTCCAGTTCATGGGTTGATGCTCAACCAGTGAGCCACACCAGCCAGGCTATTACTCATAATTTAAAAAAAAAATTTTTTTTTATTGATTTTTTTACAGAAAGGAAGGGGGAGAGAGTTAGAAACATTGATGAGAGAGAAACATCAGCTGCCTCCCACACCCCCCCCCACTGGGGGTTTGCCCACAACCAAGGTATGTGCCCTTGACTGGAATCGAACCTGGGACCCTTCAGTCTACAGGCTGACACTCTATCCACTGAGCCAAACTGGTTTCAGCTATTATTCATAATTTTGATAGTTTTTTTTTTCTTATTCTTAAAGAAGACCATTTAACATTTTGTAAAAATATATTTTATTGATTTTTTTATGGAGAGGGAGGAAAGGGACAGAGAGCTAGAAACATGGATTAGCTGCCCCCTGCACACTTCCCTCTGGGGATGTGCCCGAAACCAAGGTACATGCCCTTGACCAGAATTGAACCTGGAGCTCTTCAGTCTGCAGGCCAACACTCTATCCACTGAGCTAAACCAGTCAGGGCTCCCTTTAAAATTTTATGTAATACTGGTTTGGTGATGAAGAACTCCTTTATATTTAAAGTAATAATGGATAGTTATGTAGTTATTGCCATTTTATTAACTGTTTTCTGGTTGTTTTGTTATTCTTCTGTTTCTTCTTTTGCTCTCTTGCACATTGATGACTTTCTATAATGCTTTGTTTGGATTCCTTTCTCTTTATTTTTTGCATATATGGTATAGGCTTCTGTTTTCTTGTTATTGTGAAGTTCAGATAATACCAAGCTATGTTTTGACAGTCTATTTTAAATTGATGGTTGCTTAAGTTTGAACGCATTCTTAAAGCACTACATTTATTTACTACTCTTTCATTTGTTTTTTGTCATCATATTTTACATGTTTTTGTGTAGGTGTCTGTATCCCTTAATTTATTATTATATTTATGCATGATTATAAACTATTGCCTTTTAATCTTTTTACTAGCTTTATGATTGGCTGATCTACTTTTACTGTTTGCCTTTATCAGTGATTTTTTTTTCTTTTCGATATTTTCTTTATTTTAAAGTTTTGACCTTTTCTTTTTTCCTTAAAGGAGTTGCTTTAACATGCTGGTTTAGTAGTAATAAACTCCTTTAACCTCTTGTCTGTGAAATGATCCTTCTTGGCTGGTGTTGCTCAGTGATTGAGTTTTGACCTATGAATCAGGAAAACACAGTTCTATTTCAGGTCAGGACACATGCCCAGTTTGTGGGCTTAATCCTCAGAGGGGGCATGCAGGAGGTAGCAGATCAATGATTCTCATCATTGATGTTTCTATCTCTCTCTTCCTCCCCCCTTCCTCTCTGAAGTCAATAAAAATAAACTTTAAAAAATTCTGAGTGATAATCTTGCTGAGTAGAGTATTATTGGGTGTAGATACTTTCCTTTCATCACTTTGAATATATCTTGCCATTCACTTCTAGTCTGCAAAGTTTCTGTTGATAAATCTGATGTTCTTATGGGGGTCTCCCTTGTTTGTAGCTAGTTGCATTTCTCATGCTACTCTTAATATTCTCTCTTTAACTTTTGGCATTTTAATTATGATGTTGGTATGGATCTTTTTGGGTTCATCTTGTTTGGGACTGTTTCCTAGACTTAGGTCAAAATTTTTTTTTGCCAGATTAGGCAAATTTTCCATCTTTTTTTTCTTTCTTGAAATAGTGTTGTTTTTTTCCCCCCCTCTACTATCCCTCTTCTGCTTCTATGACTCCCCCATGAAGCTAATGCTGGTGCATCTGATGCTCCAGATGGTCCTTATTTATTTTTCTAATAAATCTTTATTCAGATTATTACAATTGTTCCTTTCCCCCTCATAGTTCCCCTCCACCCAGTTCCCATCCCACACTCTGCCCTTAACCCCCACTGTCCTCATCCATAGTTGTACATTTTTTGTCCAGTCTTCCCGAATCCACACCCCTTTCCCCCTGAGAATTGTCAGTTCACTCCCTTTCTATGCCACTGATTCTATTATATTCAGCAGTTTATTCTATTCATCAGATTTTTTATTCACTTGATTTTTAGATTCACTTGTTGATAGATATGTATTTGTTGTTCATACTTTTTATCTTTACCTTTTTCTTCTCTTCTTAAAGAATACCTTTTAGCATTTTATATAATAGTGGTTTGGCGATGATGAACTCCTTTAGCTTTTTCTTATCTGTGAAGCTCTTTATTTGCCCTTCAATTCTGAATGATAGCTTTGCTGGGTAGAGTAATCTTGGTTGTAGGTTCTTGCTATTCATCATTTCTAATATTTCTTGCCACTCCCGTCTGGCCTCCATAGTTTCTGTTGAGAAATCAGCTGACAATCATATGGGTGCTCCCTTGTAGGTAACTGTTTTTCTCTTGCTGCTTTTAATATTATCAGTCTTTTGCTCTTGGCGTTTTAATTATGAAGTGTTTTGATGTAGTCCTCTTTGCATTCCTTTTGTTTGGGGTTCTCTGCGCTTCCTGGATTTGTAAGTCTATTTCTTTCACTAGGTGGGGTAATTTTTATGTCATAATTTCTTCAAATAGGTTTTAGTATCTTGCTCTCATTCTTGAAGTTATCCCAGAGGCTTCTTACACTATCTTCATATTTTTGGATTCAAGAGCCAGCAAGACAAAAGGTGGGATCTGGTAGATTGTGTTCTGTCAGGAGTGGCAGTAGCAGTGGTGTCTTCTCAGGACCAATTTTGTTGCAGTTTTGGATGTCTTTCCTGGTTTTGTAGCATGTTAAGTCAAGTTCTGGTAAGATTGTTATTTACTAGATATATTTTCATAAATATATTTCCTACTTAAATTAGCCATAAGTAGGTTTTTGTTGCTTTTAAGAACTCTGATTGGGAAAAAATATCTTAAAAAATCTGTACCATTAGTTTACTCAAAGTTGATTATAAGCAGTATTGGTTTTCTCTTAAGTAAATTTAGACACAGTTTAAAATGTTTTACACTTGCCCTAACCGGTTTGGCTCAGTGATAGAGCGTCGGCCTGTGGACTGAAGGGTCCCAGGTTCGATTCCAGTCAGGGGCATGTACCTTGGTTGTAGGCGCATCCCTGGTCGAGGTTATTTCGGGGGGGTGGGGGGGGAGGTGTATAGATATTTCTCTCTCGTTGATGTTTCCAATTATCTCTCTGTAAATAATCAATAAAATATATTTTAAAACATGTTTGAGACTAGACTTACTTTGTGAGACATGTTGCAGACAGTAAAGATTCTTAATAATTTCATCTTAATATTTGCATTTTAAAATTCTAGTGTTTTTATGGACCATGAGCTGCTATGTACGCCTGAAGTACTTGAAATGCAAATTTGGAGACACTTTGCCATCTAAATGCTTGGCTGGATTAAGCGCCTAATTAGGATGGTTTTTCAACAGGTTGGAGTAAACATGCAATCGGTGAGTGCTCAAAATTCATTTAAAAAATATAGATAAGATTTTTTTTCCTGAGAAAGTGAAGTTAATCTATATATGACCAACAATTCAGTATTTTTATGAACTATTTTATTTGCTTATTGTTTAAATGATAGAAGAAAATCTTTACCTAGCATCCTAAGTGAGAGAGTAACTTTCTGGGTTATATTGAAAACTTACTAGTATTAATTTGATTATTAAAAGCAACTTATTTGTTATTAGGGAAGAAAAGAGTTAAGTATATGTAGGAGTCATTGAATGAAATATGTTTGACTAACACAACTCAGTATTGTGGAATTAATATTTAATGCCATATGATGTGGTTTATCATGAAACTATTTAAAGTGAAAGGTAATTTATGTTTCCTATAATATTATAACTATAAACATGAAAAAGACTAGCATAATATGGTTATTCTCTGCTAAAGATGGGCTCCACTTTTTCAAGGTAAATCTCAGAACTTGCATGCTTTTTCATTGTATTTATATCAAAATACTCTGTTCCTTCAGGTGTTTAAGGTAAGCTAGAGAATTCTGTTCTACTGCTATTTTTTTTTTTTTTTGTTCCTTAATATAGTTAATACTTTTGTTTAAAAATCATGAGACTTAAAAAATATATATTTTCTGCTAAAACCAGTTTGGCTCAGTGGATAGAGCGTTGACCTGAGGACTGAAGGGTCCCAGGTTCGATTCTGGTCAAGGGCATGTACCTTGGTTGCGGCACATCCCCAGTGTGGGGTGTGCAGGAGGCAGCTGATCGATGTTTCTCTCTCATGTTTCTAACTCTCTATCCCTCTCCCTTCCTCTCTGTAAAAAATCAATAAAATATATATTTTAAAATAAATATATTTTCAACATTATAATAGTGTATCTCTAAATACCCATTCAAAATAGTCCCAGATTTAGCACAAATTGGTCACTTGTTCTTGTCTCTGTACATTTTTTTAAACCAAGTCTCTCCAGAAAAAAATGATATTTAATGCTTAAATTTGAAAAATGTTCTTAATGTTTTAGGATGACCAGAGTTGTTGTTATTTTTTTAAATCATTTGACCTATAAAATAAAAACTGAGCCCGGCTGGTGTGGTTCAGTGGTTGAGCTTTGACCTATGAACCAGGAAGTCACAGTTTGATTCTCAATCAGGGCACATTCCTGGATTTTGGACTTGATCCTCAGTGGAGGGCTTGCAGGAGGCATTCAATCAATGATTCTCTCTCATCCTTGGTGTTTCTCTCTCCCTCTCTTTTATACGAAGTCAATAAAAATATATTAAAAATAATAAAAATTATAATTCAGAGATTATCATACATTTTTAGGCAACATATGATGTAATTAATATTCCCTTTCATGAGGACCCTTAATAGAAATGAAATTGCCTGTATGTTTGTAACACTAAATCTGATGATTTTCATGTAGGTCATTAAAAAGTTACCTGACTAATAAGTGTAATATGAACTCAATTCTGATTCTAAAAATCCTTCCTTATTCTTGTATAATAGAAAGAGAAGACTTAATATTTATTAAAGACTTATCATATATAAACTAGAGGGCTGGTGCACGAAATTTGTGCGTGGGGGGGTGTCCCTCAGCCCAGTCTGCACTCTTTCTAATCTGGGACCCATCGAGGGATGTCCAACTGCCCTTTTAGGCTTGATTCTGGTATGATCGGGTCTAAACAGGCAGTTGGACATCTTCTGACAATCCAGAACTGCTGGCTCCCAACTGCTCACCTGCCTGCCTGCTTGATTGCCCCTAACTGCTTCTGTCTGCCAGCCTCATCATCCCCTTACTACTCCCCTGCCAGCCTGATTGATACCTAACTGCTCCCCTGCCAGCCTGTTTGCCTCTAACTGCCATCTCCTGCAGGCCTAGTCACCCTTAACTGCCCCCCCGTAGGCCTCGTCCTCCCCCAACTGCTCTCCCCTGCAGAACTGGGTCTCTTACCCCTCCTCCCCCAGCTACCCTTCCCTGCAGGCCCAGTCACCCTGACCTCCCTCCTCTGCCGGCCTGGTCACCCATAACTATCCTCCCCTGCAAGTTTGATTGCCCCCAATTGCCCTCCCTTGCAGGCCTGGTTCCTCCCAACTACCCTCCCCTGCTAGCCTGATCATCCACAACTGCCTTTCCCTGCTAGCCATCTTGTAGTGGCCATATTGTGTCCACACGGGGGCAGCTGTCTTGTGTGTTGGAGTGATGGTCAATTTGCATGTCACTCTTTTATTAGATAGGATAGAGGCCTGGTGCATGAGTGGGGGCCAGCTGGTTTTCCCTGAAGGGTGTCCCAGATCAGGGTAGGGGTTCCCTGGGTGAGGGCCCTGTGGTGGTTTGCAGGCCAGCCATGCCCCTCAGCCACCCAAGCGGAGGCCCTGGTATCTGGGATTTATTTACCTTCTATAATTGAAACTTTGTAGCCTTGAGTGGAGGCCTAGGCCAGCCAGGGTGTGTGGAAAGCTTGGCTTCCTCCATTGCCGGGGAAACCCAAGCCTCCTGCTTGCTCTGTGGCTGCAGCCATTTTGGTTGGGGTTAATTTGTATATTTGTTTCTGATTGGCTGATGGGCATATCTTGTGGGTATAGTGGAATGATGGCTAATCTGCATATTACTCTTATTATCGGGTCTAGTAATAATTAATGTCGTTTTTAAACATTCGTTTAAAATCTTGCTTGGCGTTGACTTGTATTGACATAACCTTCAAACACGTGGTATCTACAGAACGTGTGAAGTGCAATTAACAAGTTTTGCTTGAAAAAGTTTGTGTTTGGTTTGGTTTTTGTTGCAAAACTAGGACTAAGAAGATGGCGGATGAAGAGCATATTCGGCACTGCATGCTTTACGAGTTCCAATTAGGAAGAAAAGCAAGTGAGGCTGCAAAAAACATCTGTAGTGCTCTTGGTCAAGATGCAGTTAGCGCCAGAAAATGCCAGCGTTGGTTTGAGAAATTTCGCGAGGGAAATTTTTCGTTAGATGACAAGAGTGGTCGAGGCCATGTGTCCAATTTTGATCAAGAAGCTCTTCAAGCTCTTTTGGTGCAAAATCCTCAAATTACCCAACAAGAGCTTGCGACAACTTTAAATTGTTCCCAAAAAACAATTTCCAATCAATTGTGTGCACTTGGCAAAGTCCAAAAGTTTGGAAAATGGGTTCCTCATGAGTTGACCGACAACAACCGTAATCAAAGAGTCACAATTTGCAGTTCGCTCCTCTCTCGTCAAAACCGTTTGCCGTTTTTAGAGCAAATTGTTACCGGAGATGAAAAATGGGTGCTGTATGTTAATTTGAAAAGGCAGCCTCAATGGTTGGACAAAAATGAGGCTCCTTAGCCCACGCCAAAACCTGACTTGCATGCGAAAAAAGTGATGTTGTGTGTTTGGTGGAATTTTAAAGGAATTCTTCATTATGAACTTTTACCATCTAACCAAACCATTACAAGTGCAGTGTATAGTGCCCAATTGGAAAGGTTAGCCCAAGCTTTAAGAGAAAAAGAACCCGCGCTGATTAAGCGAAAGGGCGTAATTCTTCACCACGATAACGCACGACCGCATACTGCAAGAATCACTGCTGAAAAACTGCGCCAATTGGAATGGGAAGTTCTCCCTCAACCTGCATATTCTCCTGATATTGCCCCTTTCGATTACCATTTGTTTCGTTCTTTGCAAAACTTTCTTCTTGGAAAAAAATTTAATAATGAAGAATGCCTCAAAAATGCATTGACCGAATTTTTTGCATCAAAATCACAAGAATTTTACAACAGAGGGATTAAAATGCTTCCTGAGCGTTGGGCACAAGTAGTAGAAAACAACGGCAACTATATTGTTGATTAAATTTTGTTGTATTGTTTAAATAAATTTGATTTAAAAAAGTATTAGGAAACGACATTAATTATTACTAAACCTAATAGGATATCTTAAATCATTTAATACTTATAGACTTGTGAAGTGGATGTTGTCCCCGTTTTATAGATGATGAAATGGAAGCATAGAGGGAACAATTATTTGGCCAGCTTTATACCAGCAATAAGTGATAAGAGTCTACATTTTTATTGAATTTATTGGTGGGGGGTGATATTGGATTATAAAATTATTTAGATTAATTTTTCTAATAGAGTGTACTTTGAAAGCCAGGCCTATATGCTGCGAAGACTTCTTCACTACCTTCTGTTTGCCTCAAAATTTTTTGAGTAAAATAATATATTCACATCTTTCCAAACTTTCTTCTATTTGAAAAGATGTGAATATATTTTCTTCTGTTATATTTAGGTCCTTTAAAATTATTTTTAAAATAAAGACCTAAATAATAATATAGAGTTAATGTGATTCTGATTATCTCAGTATTTTATGTTGAAAAGAATTATAGCAAATATCTAATTTGTATTAGAAATATGTATATTTCCAGTAATACTTAAAAATTGTACCCTTGGCCGAAACCGGTTTGGCTCAATGGATAGAGTGTCGGCTTGGGGACTGAAGGGACCCGAGTTTGATTCCAGTCAAAGTCATGTACCTTGGTTGTGGGCATATCCCCAGTAGGGGGTGTGCAAGAGGCAGCTGATTGATGACTCTCATCGATGTTTCTAACTCTCTATCTCTCTCCCTTCCTCTCTGTAGAAAATCAATAAAATACATTTTAAAAAAATTGTACCCTTGTTTTCTTTTGTTCTTTAGAAGAAGAATGTAGCTAGGAGTTCAGAGTAAAGAAGAAAACTAAAGGAAATGTTATCTTCCATTTGAGAATTTTGAAATTGTTAGAAGAGTTTCATCTTTATCTCTACCCCCCTTTCTTCAGCACACACTTTTAATTTTCTCTTGGCTTCCTTGGAATTAAGAATTTTTACTTATTTGGTCCTAGACTCCCTGAAAATGTTATAATGGCATTGACATTCTTCCCAGTAAAATGTTGTATATGCATACTATTTTGCATGTAATTTCAGGGATATGTGAGTCCCAGAAGTGAGAACCCTTGTATTAATGTGATATATAAATGGTATATATTGAACACCACCGGTGTGGCTCAGTGGTTGTACATAGACCTGGGAACCAGGAGGTCACAGTCGATTCCTGGTCAGGGCACATGCCTAGATTTGGGCTCAATCCCAATTGGAGTGCATGCAAGAGGCAACCAGTCAATGATTCTCTTTCACCATTGATGTTTCTTTCTATCTCTGTCTCTCCCATTTTCCTTCCTCTCTGAAATCATTAAAAAGAAATTTTTTTTAAATGGTATGTATTGAGAAAAATATTTTTGTTTAGAATTAAATTTATACTTTTTCCTGCTAAATGGTGTCGTCTCAAATAGTGGAGATTAAACCAGTTTATAACAAATGAATTACCACATAAAATTTGAATGCAGTCATTATGATGAGACACATGACAGCTTCGGATTCTAGCTTCACACTTCAACACATCTACAATAGCATTTCACAGTGTTAAAACACCAAATTGCTTTCCTGTGTCATCCTTCTCCTTTGCTGTCATCATTTTCAACACTGTTGCTAAATGTTATGGACTGCCATTACTAGACATGCAAACACACATAGAGAAATTCATTATTAGATTACTTATCAGTAGTTCTTATAAATTATTTATTAATTGCTTCTTAATGGGATTGAATTCTTATTAATGACATTGATTTGTCTAGTAATAACAGTTTTCTCCCTGCCCTTTCTCTTACATTTGAAAAAAATAGTAATGACAGTTTATCTTTAGAGAAAGTCTTTCCTTCTCCAAACAAGTATACTGACAATTCAGTTCTGCCACCGTTAGGGTAGGAGATGCACTCCTATACAGCCTCCCAGGTACAGATACCATCTGTTATTTTTTCATAGCCATTTACAAAATTTCTCCCCCTCCATGAAAGCTGAAAAGGAAAAAATAAAAGTCTAGTTTTAGAATTCCTGGAAGTTAACTGCTCACTTTTCCCCTATAATCCAAGAAAGGTTATGGCTCTGCTCCTTTTTAAATATTCCAATCATTAGCTTATATAGTCACTTCATATTTCTTGGTGCTAACTGCTATGCAATTCACAAGTAACAGGAGAACAGCATTTTGTTAAGTCTACTTTGTATACTTGAAAAAATAATCACATAAAGCATCTATTTTTTACTTCCTTTAACTTTGTACTAGTATAAACCTAAATAGTCTACTTATTCCTTATAAATAAAAACTCAGTCTTTGTTCACCTTCTCTTGTAGATGCTGCTGGTATTTTTTTCCTTCTGATGTTAAGCAGATGGGAAGATAATAGTAGTTGAAGCATGCCATAACAAGGAATGCTAAAAGCTGACAGAAATATCATTTCCTGACCGTGGCAAATCCTTTCTAAATTTTTCCTTGTTAGCTTTTGTCCTCTTCATCTCCAGTTAAGATCTCTGCTTATTGGAAGGACAAGAGTTTTGCTTTAGACTCTATGTAGTTGTCATATTGTGATGCATAGTGTTCTACTACTCCTATATCATAGAATTTTGATTTGTGACTAAATAAAAGACTTGAGAAGAGAAATGACTGAAAGGTATATATATACTATTACCCTATGGATTTATTTTTAAAAGATCAAGACCTATGAACAAATATAAGGTAAAGAGTTTGCTTAAATACTGTTTTAGAATTACTTGCCTCTGTTTTTATTTTTTATTATTTTTAAAAATATATTTTATTGATTTTTTACAGAGAGGAAGGGAGAAGGATAGAGAGTTAGAAACATCTGAGAGAGTAACATCCATCAGCTGCCTCCTGCACACCTCTTACTGGGGATGTGCCCGCAACCAAGGTACATGCCCTTGACTGGAATCGAACCTGGGACCTTTCAGTCTACAGGCCAATGCTCTAGCCACTGAGCCAAACCAGTTAGGGCAGTTTTTATTTTTTCTTGACCTTGCAAAACTGCAGTGCTTCTCGTTGTCCTTTAGTGAGAGATTTTTTTCTTCTCTTAGTCTTTGTGTGTTATTGGTAGTAGTCCTGTGATAATCCCCTATAAGAACATTGGTAGGCATAATTTGAGTTCCTGAACTACAGGTAATTTTTTTTCTAAGCATCAGGGTAGCTTTGCCTCATATTCTTTGTTTAATATTCATATTTTAATATTGATGTCTTATTTTTCTATTGACCAATTTTTCAATCTGTACCATCTTTTAAATTTATATTTCCAAAGTAAGAGTTATAGTTTTCATTGGTTATAGTAGCTAATTTAGGTTACAGGACCTCTCCCAGGTGAAACTTGGAACATCATGAGGAGAATCACATAACAGCTGAGGCAGATGCCAGAAGTATCATATACTGTATATTATCCCTTGATCCTCACTTTAACTCACACTGTTATCCCTAAATTGGACTTGGTTGATAAAATCTAAGAAGAAGATTTCTTCTATGCTCATTTTGGTTTGTGCATACTTTTAGAATGCTGTAAAGGTCTACTTTGGGTTATGTAGTTGAGGCACCAATGTTTGCAATAACATTTATTGCTTGGTCATACTGTTTATATTAGAGTAATTTCATTCTTTAAATTAGAATATCCATGGAGTGACTTTAAAAAGAGATCGGTGTCCATTGCTTAAAATGCATTTCAGTTGATTTGGTACTATTTATTTAATTTTAGGATATAATTGAATATTAAAGTTTAATGAATGAAATATAATCATATCAATCTCATTCTTTTCTTTTTAGATTGCTTTTAATAGCATACTACCTTTCTTTACCTCCTCTTCTGTCTAGGCTTTCAAGTGTAGCACTCAAAACAGATGGATAGTTTTTTTCTTTAAGGAAAGATCAATTACGTGGGGAGAAGTTTCAAGGTACAATTTGTAATGATTTAACATTTTACGTGTGTGTTTTTTTTTGTTTGCTTTTTTGCTTTGGAGGTTTGTGTTTCCTTTAAGGAGAGCACAACATCCTTTGAGTATTATGATTTCGTCTTGGAAAATTTTGCTCATTTAGAGTTACCGCTAGCCCATTTAGTACCTTTTTGTAAATTAAAAAAAGGGGCCTTTCCCTTGGGAACAAGACTTCCCAAGAAAATGTATTGCAACTGGATTTTGGCCCCTGCTCACCCTTGGCCAAGTGTTTTTGTGTAACAAACAAAATGCATTACCTTGCATGGTACAAATTCAGATTCTGAACTTTGTACTGATTTGGATTTGTTTTGAAAAGTCATTATAGATAAAGTAGCTCCTAGTTTAAAAAAATGTATGTGTATGTAAAATTAGGAAACTAAAAGTATAGCAGAAGATATAAAATAGTTTTTCCTTTGCAGAACACTATGAAAATGACGTTTTTACTTCAAATGAAGTATTATTTTACAAATTTTTTTCAAATTGAGAAGTATTAGTTTGTTTCCCTTTTTAGACATTCTGATTTTATAATTAATGCATCAGCATGTTAAGCATCTAATTGTTTAGGGCTTTGTGTTAACAATATTTTAAGTCATATAATTAAACATTTGTGTGTTTTTCTTTTTTCTATTTATTCAGGTACTTTGGTCTGGGAAGCCATATGGTTCATCTCGAAGTATTGTACGGAAAATTGGTACTAATTTATCTCTGATCCAGTGTCCCAGAGTTCAGTTTCAGGTACTATATATTTTACAATTTTTGTATTAGTGTTTGTATTATAGGAAGAATAGCTTTGCTAGTATTTGTTAAACTTTTCCCCCTATCAATGCTACTATCAATAAAATAAAATAATTTTTATCAATCATAGTAAAGTCTTTATAACCTTAGTTCCTCTGAGAAGTGATTATTCAAGATATTTAAGACATTTACCCTTCTTAAGAATACATATGTGAGGATTTAGAAACACGTACAAAGTCAAGCGTTGTTACTTCCCAGGTGACCTCGAAGGTAGGCTTTATATTTTTTTAGGAGATACAAGTTCCACCATTATTTTCTTTAGTTATTACATCTTCCTTTTTGGATAGCCACTCTCTTTCTCTTGTTTATTTTTAGATGTCTCTGTGCATGCCTTTTAAGTTGCTTTCCCCATCCTTTGTTAAGCTTCGCATTAATTTTTGGGAAAAATTGCCATGGCAACAACTGTGTTAAGACAGGTTAATTGTGGATCTCTGAATGAGGTAATAGTCGAACACTGAATTAGGAATACTTTTGAATGATCAGGTCTTAGTCTCTTTTAGCACCAAATCAGGGGCAGCTCCACTCTTGGCTTGCAGGTAAATTGCTATTTTCTTGATTTGGGCTTTTGTTCCTTATTGCTGGTATAGTGTTAGACATGCTTTGTTCTTGTTTTTTATTAATTTTGCACAAAAGTTATACACAAAACCTTTTAGTTTAACATTTAAGAATATAAAGTTCAGCAGATATCTAGACCAATTTTAAAAAATAGGTTGGCATATAAAGTGCAGAAGATAAATTTAACTCATCATTCAAAAGTTCAAAAGTGTCCCTATGAGCTTATATGATATTATGTCATACTCATAAATCATTCTTCCTGCTAGACAGTAGTAAAAACACATACATTCTCTCACACACACACACACACACACACACACACACACACAAACCAACCTGTTCCTAAGTAAGTGGTAGCAATTAGTGTTTAGTTTGACTAACAGGTTGCTCATTGTTGTGCTGACAGCTTAGAAATTTTTTTTTTTTTTTTTTTTTTTTTTTTTTTGATTTTTGTACAGAGAGGAAGGGAGAGAGATAGAGAGTTAGAAACATCAATGAGAGTCAGTCATCGATCAGCTGCCTCTTGCACACCTCCTACTTGGGATATGCCCGCAACGAAGGTACATGCCCTTGACCGGAATCGAACCTGGGGCCCTTCAGTCCCCAAGCCAACACTCTATCCATTGAGCCAAACCGATCCCGGAAGCTTAGAAATTTTTAATGAGTAATTTTGATCAAACAATAGGCTTTAAAAAATAATAATCAAAATGAAGAAATCTGTGGTAGTGAATCTCTCCAGCATAATTTCTGAGAATTCAGTTAATCCTTCAAATAACTATTGGTTTAACTAAGGCTTGTTAATTTTTTTCCTGATTTGCACAGTTCCATTCAGTTTTTCTTTTTACATATTTATCTACTTAAACCAGTGTCAGAAGACCTTGCTTCAATAATTGTGTTCATGTAGCCAGAGATATGTAACAGGACATGGTGATAATCTAGCATTTTCTGGTAGCAAACAACTCAAATCCCCCTTGGCAGTCAGTAGGCTAAAGTACTAGAACCAAGTACATTTCCTGGGAAGGAAATCACACTTTCTCAGTCACTGAAAAGGGTATTAGTAGAATAAAACTGTTAGATTTAGTACAGGAGCTGCATTTGAAAAGAGATGGATTAACATGAGGAGAGGAGTAAAGTAAGAGAAATATTGGTCACTTGAGAATGTAGTGGAAGACATTTGTTTATACTTAGGCTTTTACTTTCAAGCAGTTTTGTTGCATACTCAGTCTTTTCAAATTAAACATCAATATTAAAATGGGTATTTTATTTGCTACTTATTTATATATTTTGATTTTACTCTGTATTTTCTGTTTTTTATTTTTTTATTATATTTTTTAATGCACATTCTCTGGTATCATGTCTTTTTTAAAAAAAATAAATTTTATTGAATTTTTTTTCAGAGAGGAAGAGAGAGGGATAGAGAGTTAGAAACATTGATGAGAGAATCATCGATCAGCTGCTTCTTGTATACCCCCTACTGGAGATGTGCCCGCAACCAAGGTACATGCTCCTGACCGGAATCGAACCTGGGACCTTTCAGTCCACAGGCCGACGCTCTATCCACTGAGCCAAAGCAGTTTTCGCTGTATTTTCTGTTTTTTAATACATCTATCAGAAATATTAAAAATGTAGAGTATTCAAAATATAAAGGATGAAATTTAGAGTAATATAATTGAAAATGCATTTTTGCTATTTTTTCTGGCTCATTTGGGGGGCTTGATTGGTGTGGAATGTATTTGAATTGTCTAGAAGTCCAACATGAGTAAATACTGCTATAGAAGGCGTGGAATTGGGGAGTCACAGTTGGCCCAGGCATACTGTTTCTTACTTCCTAGGTTATTTTGAGAGAGACATACACATTTTCCTCGCTCTTGTTGCTCTTGTCCCTTTTCCTGTTCACCCTCAGACCCTCTCACTCCTATTCTTGGTATGTCATGAATAGAAAGCATCAACATTCAAACATTAGTGGCTTAGTTTTGTCTAGAATATTTGAGTGCTACATACTTCAGATTAGTGTTCTTCATACAGGTACATTTCTTGACCTAAATGGTGTCACTGTATGTCATCATTTTAAAATATATAATTTTTGTTTTCACTTTTTCTTACTATGGTAGGAATTGGTTAAAAAAAAACAACCTAAAGATTACTATTTTACTGTGTTCATTTTAAGAATACATATTTTGTATTTGACTATAAACAAATGGTGGTAAAATAGTCTGAATCTATTTACTGTTTCATTCTTTTTGGCCAGAAACTGAGAGCATCCTCATGAAGAGTCACATGCAGACAAAATGAATTTTTTAAATCTTTCTAAGTATTTTGATTTTTGAACATGCTTTGTATATTTTTTTATTTTATTAAATGAACCAATTTTCTTCATGAAGTTTTACATTATCAGAATAGTTTAAATTATCTGAAGTTACTTCAGTTAAATATTTCAAATATAATTGGATTTTAGATTATTTAAATTATATAAAATGTTCATTAAACTGCTTAAAATAGTAAAAATACAATACTGTTGCTGAGTTTTTGCTCTGAAGGAAATGCTTTTCCACACTTTCTGAAAGGAATTTGGGTACTTATAAATCAATAAGCATTAACTTTAATTTAAAATTTTATAATGCTCTTGATTTAAAATAAGTTATATTCCTTTCACTGTTGTTTTTTTTCCTCCCCCACTACTAACAATAGCCATGGTAAGACAGGACCTTGCTGGAGCCTTCAGTAAGTGGCTTTTTCTTTTTCAAACTTCCCATCAATCATCCATGCATGTCAGTAATGGCATCTAAATCATATTTCAAAAATTCCATATGGTCAGTCCCCTTGCCTGCACTGACTTCACCTTAACTGGTATTTGACTAATTGAGTTGTTCTTCCCATTCTATGCTTATGTTACTCAGTGCAAATTTCAGCAACAACTGAAATGGCCTTTTTTTTTTTTTTTTTTTTTTTGTCTTTTCGAGTTATTTATCTGTCTGTATAGAAGCCATAACCATGTACCATAGGGACTAACCAGTGGATGATGGGGTTTATCAGCTCAGTAGGCTTATCCTATTTAATAAAAGAGTAATATGCAAATTAACTGTCACTGTGACAAAAATAATTGCCCCCATAGCCACAAAATGGCTGCGTCCAGTCCCCTTAGTCCCGCTGCCGGAATGAACGGGCCTGTCCACCAGAGCAGCAAGGCTGGATCTGCTACTGGAGGGGGCAGATCCAGCCTCCCCTCCACCGGTGCTGCATATTTTAACACAAACTCTAAAAATTGTGTCTTGTGGCTGTTTTTGTAATGACTGTTTTGGTCAGGTTATGTCTATTACTGTGTATATTAAAGCCAGCCTTCATGCCTGGCTGATGTGGTTCATTTGGTTGGAGTGTGATCCCATACGCTGAAAAGTCACAGATTCTATACCCGGTCAGGGCACTTATCTAGATTGTATGATTAGTCCTCAGTTAGGGCACATGGGAGAAGCAACCAATCAATATTTCTCCCTCTCTCCCTCTTGCCTTCTTGCCCCCTTCTTCCCTTCCTCCCTTCCTCTTTTCCTCTCTCTAAAATTAATAAACATATCCTTGAATAAAGATTAAAAAAAACAAAAAAACACAAAAAGAAACCCCAAAACCCAGCCATCTTTGTATTTTAAAGTAATTATACATATTTTACATTAGGTCTCTAACGATTTCTTTACCACTATAATTTCATGTTACCACTCATAATAATATAACTATATGAGGAAGTAACCATTTCCAACAATCAGTACACTCCCGTGTGATACCCTGATCATTTCATTAACGGAACAGTGACATACTTTTCACAGTGTGAATGACCATAGAGATGGATAATTTTGTATGATCACTTGTACTGTGGCAAACATAACATTGTTCCATTCGTGAAAAACTCACATCTAACAATATATTAATAAAGTGGTTTAAAAGAAATACTTTGTTTATAAGCAATAACTTTATTATAAAGATATATCAGTAGAAAATCCTCTCAAATTGGAAAATCATACAACTGAGTGTCAGATTAAATTAACATTTTAAGAAAGCAAAAACTACTTTTATCATTTTCATGGTACATTTTGCAAAATAGGTTTCATTACTTTTTTAAAAAAGTAATTATTTCAGTATTTTTTTTAAATTTCTTTATTGACTGAGGTGTTTCATATGTGTCCTTATTTTCCCAACTATTTCAGTTTTAAAAATTAAACTATTGTACATCCATATATAATTAAACTATTGGACTAAAATTATCTATATATATATATAAAAGCCTAAGTGATGTTTATGACTGGAATGACTGGTTGACCAGTCGCTATTGTGTGCACTGACCACCAGGGAGCAGATGCTCAGTGCAGGGGCTTACCCCGGTGGTCAGTGCACTCGCATAGCCAACCTCCCACAGCCCCTCCCCTGGCTGGCCAACCTCCTGCAGCCCCTTGCTCCAGGCTCTGATAGTGGCCAGCCAACTTCCCGTGGTTCGTCCCCCCAGCTAGCCGGCCCCCTGATAGGCCTCAATCACTGGCCAGGCTGATGGACCCCACCTGTGCATGAATTCATGCACCAGGCCTCTAGTTTGATAATAGAGAATTATTCTCTTACTTTTTGGTAATTTTTTAAAAGGAATGAAATAGCCTTTTATAAAAAGATTAGTGGCCCGGTGCACGAAATTTGTGCACATTAAAAGGGAATTAATTAGAATAAATATTTTAATATTGCTACTTGTTCTTTCTATAATAGAAGTGTCAGAGATGAAAGAAAATTGTATATTAAATCTTACTCCTTTCAGAGTCTGAGGCACACCACGGGACCCAGAGTCAAATCCCCACCCACCACCCACACACACTTTGAAAACGCAGGAGACCCAGATCCGGCCGGCCCCACCCCCATGGGGTGAGACCAGACCTGGCCAGCCCCAACCCGTTAAGCCCCTCTGGGTGGGGATGCAACCTCAGGTCTCCCAGCCTGGTGCTGGGTTGGGGGCACAGCCTCGGGTTCTCTGGCCTGGCACCCGGGCAGGGGATGCAGCCTGAGGTCCCCCAGCCTGGCGCTGGGGCAGGAGATAAAGCATGAGGTCCCCTGGCCCAGTGCTGGGGTGGGAGATGCAGCCTGAGGTTCCGTAGCCCAGTGCCAGGGCAGGGGGCATGGCCTGAGGTCTCCCGTCAAGCCCCGCTGGGTGAGGGGCATAGCCTGAGGTCACCTGTCAAGTCCAGCTTCCCCCTGCAGCATCATGTCAGCACCGAGCAGGGATGCACGCAGGCAGTGTCACATCCCTGTCCAGGGATGCAGGTAGGCAGCTTCACCTCAGTGTTGGGCGAAGACATACGCAGGCAGTGTGATGTTAGCACTGGGGGCGGAAGTCCCCACCCCTGTCCCTGCCCACAGACTGGTTGTGACAGACAAATTAGCATATTACCTCTTTAAATGTATAGACTAGAGGCCCAGTGCATGAAAATTCATGCACTTGGGTGGGGAGTCCCTCAGACTGGCCTGCCCCCTCTCACAGTCCAGGAGCCCTCAGGGGATGTCTTAGTGATGGCAGGGAGCGGGCCTAAGCTGCAGTTTGGCCTCCCTCTGTAGGAGGCGACTGGGCTGATAAGGGGCAGCGCTGCCTTCACCCTACTGCTGCTGCCGGCTGCCTGCCGCTGGCCCTCACAGCTGCCATGGCTTTGTCCGGAAGGATGTCTGAAAGGACATTTGGCTGTCTGATCTAATTAGCATATAATGCTATTATTATTCTAGACTAGAGGCCCGGTGCACGAAATTCCCCTCAGCTCAGCCTGTATCCTTCCCAATCCGGGATCCCTTGGGGGATGTCCAACTACCAGGTTAGGTCCGATCCGCAGACATTCCTTTCACAATCTGAGACCACTGGCTCCTAACTGCTCGCCTACCTGCCTGATTGCCCCTAACTACCCCCCTGCTCGCCTGGTCGCCCCCAACTGCCCCCCATGCCGACCCGGTTGCCCCTCACTAACCCTCTCTGCCAGCCTGTTTGCCCCACACAGCCTGTTCGGTCATCCGTTCAGTTGTTTCAGGTGCGATGGTTGCTTAGCCAGATAGATAGATAGATTGATAGATTGATTAGTATAAATACTTTTTCTTTTTTGTTAGGCTTCTCCTTCTTAAAAAAACAAACAAACCCTTTATTATTGAAAGTATTATATATGCTCCCTTTTTTATCCCATCAACCCCCTTCAGCCATCCTCACCCCCCCTTTCTTTTTCTTTTTGGTGACATAGATTTTACCAGTTCTGGAATTGATTTAAAAAAAGAAAAAGAAAAAAGTGTCTTAACAGTATCACTAACTTTTTCATTTAATTAAGCACATAGTAAGTAGAGACACGGTTTTATTTCAGTGATGAAATATAATCAATGCTTAATATGATTGCAAACTAAGACCATGGAATAATTTAGCCTATTTTTTAAAGTTTGTGCAAAAAGCAACTTCTCATGTCTAATATATGAAGTATTACAGATATCAGTTCGGGAAACGCTTGATCTTTAATTATGCTATAAAAGACTGAAAAGCTGCCACAAAACGGATTAACTTTTATATTTTTGAGTGCTTATAATTTATTTTTAAATTTCATTTTTCAGTGAGGGCTTACATTTAATATTGCATTAGTTTCAGGTGTACAGCATAGTGATGATTATTTTAAAAATATTTTGTTTCCTTTTATAAACAAAGTAGAGGCTCGTTGCAGGAAGATTCTTGCAAGAATAGGGCTTCCTGTGGCCAGAGTGAAGCGGAGAAGGGAGCAAAACCTGCCTCAGCAGGCTTCGCTACCATCTCCGCTGCCTTACTTCCTCCCGTCTCCACTGCCTCACCAAGAAAATGGCAAATTTTGTAACCTTTGGGAAAGTAAGAAATCTTGAGGTCAAACTACAAAGTATAGCTATATTGGATCAAATTTTTATTTTCTAATTAAAGAATTATAATCAGATAGGTCTTCATGAATTAGCACCTTAGGAAGACATCTTTCAGATTTTAATTTCATGATCTCTTATTTATACAAAATAACCCATTAATACTCTGTCTTCTAGGAACTTCTACAGGGCTTGGGGAATTTTTATGTTCAAGGATCTCACATAACTCATGTAGAGTCTTCCTATTATAATACCCGGTGCATGAAGATTTGTGCACGGGTGGAGGGTCCCTCAGCCCGACCTGCACCCTCTCCAATCTGGGAGCCCTCAGGGGAGCCCTCTCCAATCTGGGAGTTTCTATGTGTCTTTGCAATCATATGAGCAAATTGTCTGAGACCCCAACCCAGTTTGGTTTGTTGCTCACAGAATAACAGGCTTTTTTTTTTTTTGCTTTGCTTTGCTTTGCTTTGCTTCATTGGTGGAGATTTCCTGGAAATTTTAGGATATCGTCCCTTTAATCATTCCTAGACACTCTGATTTTACTTATGTCTCTCACCTTTGCTTTCCCTCTATCCCCCACCGCAACAGTACCTTGCTCCAGGCTCACTTCACTCTAGTGTCTAGGAGATCCACCTGCCACAGAACTGTGATTCCCAGCATTTCCGGTGCTCCCCATGCTCTGGGTTTTCTCTTCCTGCTCTGTCTCCATCCCTCAGCCTCCTGCTCTGCCAAGTCCTCCAAACTGCCGGCTCTCCATTCTGCTTTCCGCCCAGACACTCTAGCCACTGAGCCAAATCGGTTTCAGCTGTTTGGTGTTTTTTAAAAATCATTTGACCTGTAAAATAAAAATTAAGCCCGGCTGTCGTGTCTCAGTGGTTAAGTGTTACTGGTTCAATTCCTGGCCAGGGCACACTCCTGGCTTACAGGCTCAATCCTCAGTGGAAAGTGTTCAGGAGTCAGCCGATCAATGATTCTATCTGATCATTGCTGTTTCTCTCTGTCTCCCTCTCTGAAATCAATAAAAAAAATATATATTTTTTTAAATGAAAAAGGTAAATTGAGAGGTTATCATACATTATTGGGGAATATATGATGTAAGTCCCTTTTAAGGGAGACCTTTAATAGAAATGAAACTGCTGTAAAACATCATTTTCATTTAAGTCATTAAGAAGTCTTATTCTAATATTTTGGTGCCAGATGACAGTCTCCCTATTTGTACCTTTTAGCTTACCAGCCCTACAACAGAACTGAGCCCCAGCCACCCAGGAGAGGATGCAGTGGCATCTTTTGCTGATGTTGGATGGATAGCGGAAGAAGATGGAGAGTGCTCAACAAGACGAAGGTTAGTCTGGAAACCTATGAGAACAGATAGGATATTATTTTAAAAGATGTTATCTTTGTGGTATTTACCTTTAATAGCTGAATTTGGTCTCTAGTAATTAACTCAGGTTTTCTTTTTAGCACTCATCTGTTCTGTTTAGTTTAAAGACTCAGTATTTGTAAATTTCCTAAAGACATATAACTATTGTGTTTTTAAGAATTACAGAATTCCCTGCCTGTTAGAAGTTCTAATATGAGAGGACTGTCATAAATACGTTTATAAAAGCATAGTAATAAAATAGTATTATTGGTGTAGAAAAATCAGTGTGGGTTATATTAGAAAATTTGTGTGATCATTGGAGAATAAGTCCTAAAAATTCTGAATCTAAGTGAGTTATGATTCAAAGGAAACTATATGTAAGAGTTAGACAGGGACTTAACATTTATTTGAAAGAGCCTGAATAAAGTATTACTATGGCTCAAACTAATAAATAATTATTCCACATATTCAACTCTTCGTTCTTAGGCATTGAGGATACAGAGATTAAAATAAGACATAGTTCTTGTTTTCTAGGAATACTTGGTGTGCTAGAGGAGATTAAAGAAGAAAACAATAATATTAATACTGTAAAGTTAATTAAATACAGAAGGCCACTTTTGGGTGAGAGAGATTTGGCCAGGCTTCTCAAAGAAGGGGATGTTAGAGCTGAGGATCAGTAGGAGCCAAAAAGATTGAGTTCCTGGGTCTGTTGGTTCTTGCTATGCCCTGGGAGTGGTATTTCTTTAAGAACTCATTTTCCATTGGTTATACTCCTTTGTGACCCTGAGAGTAAGTAGGATCACTGGCTTCCACAGTCTGGTGATCTAGAGGTGTCCCCTGGTGTGGCTTAAAAATCAGGTGCCTCACAAGGGTGTAAGAATCTTTTGGGAGAGATACTAAGTAACTGGAGCGAGACAGAGGAAGAGTGCAAAGATAGCATCTACTGGCCTCTGTTCCCTGAGAGACTCTGTAGGCCTCTAGATGTCTGCCAAACCTGAAGCCTGTCTTTCAGGCCAGAGCTCCTGGAGGAGCAAATAGGCCTTCTCAGAATGACGGGGATGTCTCAGTCTGCTGTCTTACAGCGCCCTGAAGGTGGTAGTTGGCCAAAACCTGTCTCTGTAATTTTTACGAACCTATGGGAATCAGGAATGCAAGACTTCCTTGCCTTCAGAGCCAGGTAATCAAGGGTTGTCCCCTGGTGGCAGCCACAAAATTGGGGCATTAGGCATAAAAAATCAGGGCACAGACTCAAATGAAAGAGCCCCTCTGGAAGATACTGGTTGTCTGGAGCAGGGCAGAAGGGAAGGTTAGATGGTACCTGTGGGGTACCATCTGAAGCTATGGGTAGAAGGTCTAGGGTATTTTTTTTTTTTTTTTTTTTTTTTTTTTTTTTGCTAGGGAAGGAGGATGGCACTTACAGTTGGTGCCTGCCAGCCTCCATCCCCAGAATATATCTTAGCAGGCCCCTAGATGTATAGGTTGGCGACCGCTGGGTTAGATGACTGCCTCGCAGGCCGATGCTTCAAGATTAGCAAATGAGACTTTTACATGAAGTCAAGGCAGGATCAGCTGCTTCTGTGTTAGACCCTGGGGTGAGTCCCAGCATGAGAGCAAATTTAAGAGCCATTTCTCAGATCACTATGGCCTTGTGGATCTCTTGAATATGAATCCTATTGGCTAGACGTTTTAGTTGCTCATCTCTAAGATGCAGGTCTTAAAAGTTGGGGTACTCAGTGTGGTGTTCAGACTCTGCCCCACAGGAAGCAGCTATGGGCTTTGAGTTCCCTTCCCAGTGAGAGTCACTGCTCCTGGGGTATGGTTCATTAACAGATTGTATCAGCCTCTCCAGCTTCAGTGCTGTTTTTGTTTAGTGCTGCTTTTGTTTGGTTAGATTTTACTTTTCAGAGGAAAGTTCCATACATAGCTGTAGATTTGGTGTATTCACTGGAGGAGGTGAGTTCAGGATTTCCCTAGTCTTTCTGTGTAGCCATCTTGAACCAGAACTCAGTATTCCTAGGTATGGATGGACCAGTTTATTTCATCATGCACCAGTTGATGCACATTTGGCTTGTATACAGGGTTTTTGAATTAACGTAAGTTTTCATTTCTCTAGATTAAATGCAATTTCTGAGTCATGTAAGTCATAAGGTGGTTGCATGTTTATTTTATTATTTTAAATAATTCTTTATTGTTGAAAGTATTACATATGTCCCCCTTTTCTCCCCATTGACTCCTCCAACCCACCCCTGGCTCCACCCTGGGCCTTCAGCACCCTATTGCCTGTGTCCATGAGTTATGCATATAAGGTCTTCGGTTGATTACTTCCCACCTACCTACCCCCCCGGCTTTCCCTATGAGAATCTGTTCCACGCTTCCATGTCTCTGGATCCACTCTGTTCATCAGTTTATTTTCCTACTTATATTCCACATGTGAGTGTGATCATGTAATATTTGTCTTTCTCTGACTGACTTATTTCACTTATTAGCATGATACTTTCCAGGTCCCTCTCCATGCTGTCTCAAAGGGTAAGAGATGCTTCTTTTTTACTGCTGCATAGTATTCCATGGAATAAATGTATCACAGTTTTTTATCCATTCATCTTCTGATGGGCACTTGGGCTGTTTCCAGATCTTAGATATTTTAAATTGCTATGAACATAGGGCTGCATATATTCTTTCTGATTGGTATTTTGGGTTTATTAGGATATGTTCCTAGAAGTGGGATCACTGAGTCAAATGGCAGTTCCATATTTACTTTTTTTGAAGAAACTCCATACTGTTTTCCATAATGGCTGCACCATTCTACATTCCCACCAGCAGTTTCCTTTTGTCCATATCTTTGCCAGCACTTGTCATTTGTTGATTTGTTGATGGTAGGTATTCTGACAGGTGTGAGGTGATAACTCATTGTTGTTTTAATTTGCATCTCTCTGATGATCAGTTACTTGGAGCATTTTTTCATATGTCTCTTGGCCATCGTATGTCCTCTTTGGAGAAGTGTCTATTTAGGTCCATTGCCCATTTTTTAAATTAGATTGTCTTCCTTTTGTTAAGTTCTATGGGTTCCTTATATATTTTGGATATTAACCCTTTATTAGATGTACCATTGCCAAATATGTTCTTCCATACAGTGTGCTCTCTGTTTTGTTGATAGTTTCTTTTTCTGTGCAGAAGCTTTTTATTTTGATGTAGTCTCATTTGTTTATTTTCTCCTTAGTTTTTCATTGTTGTAGGAGATGTATCTATAAACATATTGCTATGAGAAATGTCTGAGATTTTGCTACCTTTGCTTTCTTCTAAGATTTTTATGGCTTCATGACTTACATTTAAGTCTTTCATCCATTTTGAGTTTATTCTTATGTATGGTGCAAGTTCGTGGTCTAATTTCTTTTTCTTTTTTTTTTGCATGTATCTCTTCAGTTTTCCAAATGCCATTTATTGAAGAAACTGTCTTGACTCCATTGTATGCTCTTGCCTCCTTTGTCAAATATTAATTGAACATAATGGCTTGTATTGATTTTGGGGGGGTCTCTATTCCTGGGGTTGGTTACAATGGCTTTGTAGTATAACTTGAAATCTGATATTGTGATTCCTCCAACTTTGTTTTTCTTTCTCAAGATGGCTACAGCTATTCTGAGTCTTTTTGATCCCATATAAATGTATTTGTTCTAGATCTGTGAAATATGCTGTTGGTATTTTAATAGGGATTTCATTGAATCTGTAGATTGTTTGGGTAGTATGGACATTTTAATGATGTTGATTCTACTAACCCATGAACATAGTATATTCTTCCACTTGTTTATATCTTCTTCTATCTCTTTTTTTTTCAACATCCTGTAGTTTTCCAAGTACAGGTCTTTTGCCTCCTTGGTTAAGTTTATTCCTAAGTATCTTATTTTTTTTGGTTAAATTGTAATGGTAAATGGGATTGTTTAGTTTCTCTTTCTGATAATTCTTTATCCTATACACTGAGTGACCAGATTATTATGATCTATATAATAAAAAGCTAATATGCAAATTGTCCCCTCGACCAGGAGTTAAACCGGCAGGTAGGCTGGCTAACCACCCATGTCCCCACTCCCTGGACAGGCTGGTTGGATCCCACCCATGCACGAATTCATACACTGGGCCTCTCATACACATACACACACACACACACACACAGGCCACATTATTATGTATTCAGAGATCATCATAATCTGGCCACTCAGTGTATAATAAACGGGTAATATGCAAATCTACCAAAGGACCGAACGACCAGTTGCTATGATGCACACTGACCACCAGGGGGCAGATGCTCAATGCAGGAGCTGCCCCCTGTGGTAGGGGAGTGCCGCTCAGCCACATACTGGGCTACGGATGTCCAACTGGCGACTGAAGCATCCCCCAAAGGCTTCTGGACTGCTAAAGGGCTCTGGCCAGGCTGAGGGGGACCCTCTTCCCCAGTGCACGTAAGTCGTGCATCGGGCCTCTAGTTGCTGTATAAAAAAGCCATAGATTTTTGGGTGTTGACTTTATCCTACTAATTGCTAAATTCATTTATTAAATCTAGTAGTTTTTTGATGGAGTCTTTAGGGTTTCCTATGTACAATATCACGTCAGCTGTGAATAATGAGAGTTTACCTCCTCTTTTCCAATTTGGATGCCTTTTATTTCTTGTCTGATTGCTATGGCCAGGACTTCTAGTACTAGCCTATATAATAAAAGGCTAATATGCAAATAGATTGAATGGTGAAATGACCAGTTGCTGTGATGTGCACTGACCTCTAGGGGGTAGATGTTCAACACAGGAGCTGCCCTCCAATGGTCAGTGCACTTCAAAATGGTGAGCGCCACTCAGCCAGAAGCCAGGCTCACAGCTGGTGAGCGCCGTGGCGGTAGTGGGAGCCTCTCCCACCGCCACAGCCGTACTAAGGATGTCCAACTGCTGGACTGTGAGAGGGCGCAGGCTGGGCTGAGGGACCTCCCCTCTCTTTCCCTGA